AAAGTCGGTTCTTTACATATTTTCTAATTACCTTCGAAAATATATTAACTCAAAAAAAAAAATAAACAATGCTTCATAGATCGATTTTTTCTTAAATCTAACTTCATAAAGTTCTTTAAAAATATTTTGTAAATGAGGCCATAAGAGCTTAGGGGGAGAGTTATAACACAAAAACACATTTAAGTCGCAGCGAAGCACGCCGGGTAATTGCTAGTATTAAATAATTCATTGGCTCCTGTGTACAATGATATTATATGGATATTAAACCATGTTAAAATGTACACTCATGTGAAAATTAATAACATTTTTTTTATTATATGAAAAACATTTTATTTTTGTACCAAAGTATTGTTAAATGCAAATAATCTGGCGTTATAAAAGAAATTTTTTGTTACTTACATTCATAATTTTGCTTTGGATAAAACTTTACTGATTTTTATAGCATGAAAAAGTCTAAGATACTGATTATGCGCAAAAAAATCTGGCAACCTTAAATGCTGCTCTCAGTCGGGATCAGCTCTTCCCTTGCTCGTTCGCGCTGTGATGTTCCCTGACCAGCCTCTACTGCAGTCGGGCTGTCGCCCGTGGACTTTTGCTTCCAAGGTTTAATCGGAATGCTGCCAAACCTGTAGTTCAGTCTAAAGCCGTCCCGCCTGACACTGTTGAAATCGTCTTTGTCAATGTCCACTTTTAGACGTAGGCCCGTGTTTTCGATAGAGTTGTTTATGACTAGCCATCTTGAGGTGTTGAGTCCGTCAGGAGGAAGACCGTCATGTTATGGGACCGCGGATTTCATCTCCTTTCTTCGTGCTTAGGGGTTGAAATTTCTACCTTACCTGACACGCTTGTCAGCCACGTGACCGTCATCTCATCCTTGCGGTCCACAAGGAGCATACCTGGCCTGAAATAGACTCCGAAAAAAGCTATAAGATGCATCCATCCCTTAAACACGTCATCCATGATGACGTCTTGAGGGTTGTCAGCTCGGCCGCACTCAGCGTCTCGGCGCGTTTTCAGCGGACACGGTTTTTCTATTAGCTGCTATCCCGCTTCTCCGCTCTTTGACTGCCCTCTATTTTGTCCGCTGTAGTAGTCTTGCATTAAAAAATAGTGAAATAACTGAAAGAATCATAATTATGGTGGAACTTTTATTTCCTTAAATGTTAGAGCTTCTCAAGTTAAGCCGTATTATTTTTTTTAACAGCAGGTTTTTGGTACATATGTACATATGTATAAGTAAGTACATCATAAAGACTCATAACGTACCAAAAGTATAAATTTATTTTGATTTTTCTGTTTGTTACATTCCATTTATAAAAATCTTAACACAAATCTTCAATTTGTAAATTAGAACATGCAAAAAAATAGGTTTTGTCATTCTGAGCTGTAGCGACATTATATTTTTTGAACACAACTGTACCTATATGTAAAAGTACCTACACTGCATAAGTTTAATTAGCTTCATAACCAATGAGTAAAATATGTATGTATGCTCTTAACTTTAGCTATTGATAATCAACACTTCAGCATTAACAACACATGCGGTTATGAAAGTATTAAATGTGTTTAAACTCTGTATGATTTGCTGTTTGGAGCCAATGTTCCTTGCAATTTTATTGCTACCACTATCCAATGCGATAACTGTGAACAACACTAATAACGCCATAACCAAATATTGGCTATTACCAACGAAAACAACATCAAATATAACGTTGAGTACTCATGCAGAATCCAATTGTCCATCTTCAACGGCAGCCACAATTTTAACCGTATGGAATGTTTACTTTACACTATGCATTAATAATCATGATGCGCGCAATTCTATCAGTTATAGAAATGTAGAAAGTCACTTTCGCCGCCAGAACGAAAGTGAAATTGTTAGGGAAAGCGAAGGCAACATTGAAAGTTGGAGTCTGGAGCAGCAATGGAAACGAAAAGAGCGTACTAAAGGGAGCAACGCTAAAAGTAATCGAGGTGTTGCTGGAGTAATCAACCAACATCGCTCTGATGATATCTTCGAGATAACATTGTGTATGCTACTTGCAATTTTCGTAGAAGTAATTCCACTCACACTGCGCTATGTTCGCAAGCGAACTGTACTTTTCTGGCGTTGGCTTCTATTACTCTGCTGCTGCTCTTATTGGAGTATTTCGAGAAAACTATTTCAACGGCAACGATTACGGAATCAAAGGGCAGTTGCACTGAACTGTGTTTGTGAACTCATAAAACTTGCTACACTCAAATTAAAAAAGAGGCAAGATCATATCCCGAAGCTACCGTATGCAATCCGGCAGAATCAGCTGACAATTTTTGCAGTGCTAACTGGAAAAATGTTTGCACTTTTTGTACAAGGGGCTACTACACCGTCCACCGAAATGACAATATCATCAGACGCCGGAACTGCGTGTACAACCACAGGAAGACTAATATTATTGTCAGGAGTACCTACAGCAACAACAGCCATAATTGCACAAAATTTTAAAAAGACCTGTCATAATTTTTTGCTAACAACGCTTTTAATGGATCCCGTCACGCTGACATTTAATACGCCTTTTTTAACAGATCATGTACTTTATATTCTGGTGCCACAAGAAAACCGATTGTTTCATAACCAATTAGCCTTTTCTGCAGTAATATGTGAGCAGGTGAAAACTTTGCATTTATATTACGCTTGCCAATATTTTAATGGTATCGATAGCAGCAAAAAACAACAGGAAAATTACAGTGTTGGTGGACTCAAGATCTGTAGCGATTGCAATAGGTCACATTCGCATCAAAAATATAGAATGATTTTGATATTTCAACCATTATTTGACATAGCCAACACTATAATAGAAACCTATGACAATAATTATGTGAAAATGCATAATAATAGCCGTTATTTAAAACCGTCCAAACCAAACATGGTTAAATTAAACAAACGCAGAACTAAATCCAGCAGCATTTCAAAACTTGAACATGAAATTTTCAGAGGTAGGGATGAAGCTGTAGTGGAACGGAAGAAGACAAAATATGGAAAGTTGATGAGACAGAATCCTAGGCTTCACGATCTCTTAACCAGTACAAGTGCTAAATCTAGTGCAAAGCTTACCAAATCTACAATGTCAACAAATCAAAAAAGGCCAGCAAATTTAGGCATACCGATTAATGCGAAAAATAAAAGTGCGCCCGCACAAGAGGATCAAAATAGAAAAGGTAAAAATACCGATTGGAATGAATGCATGCATGCTATTATGAAATTTGACTTGTGCTGTTGCTTTTGGTGTTTTTGTTGTTATCGTCGCTGCAATTGCATTTCTGGAAGAAATTCGAGTGATGATTGTTGGTGTACTTGGTATTGGTGCTGGCAACGGCATTATAGGCAACATGCATTTAACTATCCGCATTGTATATACTGCTACTATAATTGCTGTCGTTACTACTGTTTTTATCGCTGTTATTGTTGCTGTTGCTTGGCAAAATTACATTCAACATCTATCACATGTCCATATTGTCATGTAGCCACCAGATTAAATAATCAACCCTCTAAATTAAAAAAACATCCAAGGGCAGGAAAGATGGCCCAAAAACAGCAACCAAGCCAAAATCCGGCAAAAAAGCAAAAAGTACCACAACAACTAGAAGACTTCAGAAATTTTCTTCCACCACAAGGTCTAACAAGTACCACCTGCCTCTGTTTTGAATGTCCCGTCTGGTTTTCCTGTCGGTCACTGCACTGCTATCAAAACGCACATTGCTTTAACTCTACTAAAGATGTGACTACGTTAACAAAAACGGCCACAAAATTAAACGGAGAGATTTTATTTAGCAAAAAAACAAAGTTCATGCGATTTGCTCGTTGTAGTGCAAAGCATCTAAGCAAATATATTTTTCATCAATTAATCCATATGGCGGAATATTTTTACCGGTATATAATAGCCGCGCTTCGAGTGAAAATATCTGTCCCAAGGTCAAGGGCAATTGTAATAAAAGTGTCAAGAGAACAGAAGCAGCAACAACAACAGCAACAGATGGTTTCCATTGCAAACGACCAACAATTAAAAATGAATAACTTATGTAAACTTTTTTGCAACAATTGGAAGCGACATCGTCGACGAAGACGACGACGACGCCGACGACGAATAAATATACAAGAACAGCAGCAGCAACAATCCATCACTCTTCAGCAGCAACATATGAGTAGTGAAAAAGACACATTATTTCATATAACCAATCATCGTTTTGGTATTTGGGACCTCAATGCGTGCAAAACAATCCCAACAAATGCCCCTTCCGTGCATTTTATATTATCAAAAGCAGCGGCTGGATCTATTTTAGCAGGATCTGTGTTAGCAGGAATGCGTCTAGCGAACACCAAAATTATTGCCTTGAGTGACCGAACGCGAAAGGATATGATGAGTCCAGCACCAACGCCAGCATTGATAACGTCGTCAACGTTCACAGCGTCTGCTAATACAGCGCGTGTTGGCCGTAACCGGCCTAGACCGAATCTTGTTTGGCTCTTTATTGGATTAGTGTGGTTCGAAGGGCCAAAATATGTCAACTGCAATATCAATGGAAGTAGCCAATCACAACAGCCTTCTACCCGGGCTCAAACTCAAACACAAACACAAACAGTTGCGCATACAACCACCCAAGCGCCGCTACAGCCGCTTACCGTACTATCACATCAACAACAACGTCAAACACAACCACCACAGATAGTTTCAAATTTACCTTTATTAACCACAAACCACAAACCAATTTCTAAATCGCCGGTTTCACATTCCCAAAAAGCAACAGAAGATGTTTTCGATGATGTTTCCACGTCACTCAAATCAAAAATAAAGCATGGAAAAAACAGTAATGCCAGTGGTAAGAGTATACGTAGTGGTAATTGTTTATCTTCGCGAAAACGGGCTTCCATAATGGCAGCTACAACAAATGAAAAGCAAACTGGGACGTCTAATACCGATTCAATTCTACCAATCGATCATACGGGTTATGAATGGCTCGAAGCGGAAGTGGAGTACGATTTTCTAGAAGAAGAAGGTGAGTTTTATCACGGCAATGAACTTTACGCGCATAAACAATACAAGATGTTTGATTCTGTGAACTGTTATTTTGAATTACACTAAATTTCCTTGCCTGTAAAAAAATACATACGTATCTATTTGAAAAACTCTAAAAATACAAATTATTGCTAACATATAGAGAAATAAATTGATGTATTTTTTCATTATCATTTTTTAAATAAAAAATACAATTACATATGTAGTTATTTGTTTGTTGAACGTCCCGTCCATTTTTTGAGGTGCATTTTGATAGTGGAACCAGCGTTGCCGCATTGACGATTTCGTCGTCAATTTGACGTTTTTTAGCTCAATGACGTTTTGACGATTTTCCACCCGAAATTACGATTTTTTTTAGTTTATCCATTTAATTATATATGTATGTATGTAAATATACATACATATATGTGCCTATGTATGTACAAAATTTGTTAACTGAAAACGTAATCTAAAATACAACCACGCATTTACTTATCTAGTTTTGTTCTTGAACCGTGCTTTTAGTTATATTAAATTTGTTCTAGAATTATAACCAAATCGTTAATTTGCACTGCTGACACTCATTTGAAAGAGACAGAAAAATAGCAGAAGGAATTTGTTGAGTTAAGATTATCATCGTTAATAAATGCCCCCGTTACACTTTAAAACTAGATCAAAATCTTCAAAAACTTAACATCAGTGGAGTTCAACAATTTAAAAGCAGTTGTGTTTTAAATCGTAAATCTAAATTGTCGGTTACAATTACAAATCAACCTTTAGTAACCCATATGCAGTGTGGGTTCCCTTTGGTTTTGTAATGTGTGGTGATTAGGGCGGAGTAATTTAATTTCGAAAAAAATGTAGGGCATATTGGAATTCGAAGTTCGATTATAACCAAAAATGGTGAACAAACTAAGTAGACGTTGACCCTGCCAATTTTTAAAAGAAAAATCTGTGTATTATATTTTTTCTCTGAAAGGAATTAACTTTTCATTTACAAAATCTGATGTTTTCCTCATGAAATATACTGCTTTTTCTTTTGAAAATTGGGAGAGTTAAACGTCATTTTAGGTATACAGTTTTCTCGCCATTTCGGCTTACAATTAATCGTAGAATTTGAATTTGCTATACACTTTTGTTGAAAATATTGCTCCGAACAAATCACTCCGCCCTAGCGGCCATATTTATTGTACGTAATTTATGTAATTTTGTTTGTATTTTTTATTGTTACAAAAATATAAGAAACAAAAATTTTATATTTTGGACGAAATGACGATTTTTTTGGGGTAAATTGACGATTTTTCAGCGAAAGCTTTCGGCAACGCTGAGTGGAACACAAATTGAAGGACCCTCGGTTTTACTTCCCATCTTAACGTTGAACGGTGTTGATGACAAGCCTTTCCATGTCATCATTAAGCGATTGGCCCAACACAGGCTCGCTTTGCTTGTTTCATTTTAAGAACTGTAAAAATATTGGAAATATAGTAAAAGGTTGGCCGCTGTAGCCGAATGATTAGAGGTGGGTACTGCCACTATGTAGGAACAAGGGTCGATCGTTGGTTTAAGCAATATCCCAAAAGAAATACAGCAAAAGTTTTTTTCTAAACTGCCGTCGCCTCTCGGCAGGCAATGGCAAGTCTCCGAGTGTATTTCTGCCTTGAAAAAGCTTTTCTCGTTAGATCCATTTGCCGTTTGGAGGCGGCATAAAACTGTAGGTCCCTCCATTGGATGAGAAGCTCTGCCAAACACTTAGCAGAAGTGAAAGCGCCAAAATAATAATATTATTATAAGGTTGGCCAAGAGCAGCTTTCCTTCACTTGCTCTAACAGCCCGACCTTATATAAAGCCACGCCGTTTGTTTACGTACTTCGCCTAATATGTTTTTCTGCGTAAACTGAAATAGTCTTTGCATTTGATGTCACTGAACGAAACATCAAAGCAAAATCTCACGCAGAACAAACGGTGGGAATTGAGACAGCTTTTTTCGCGCACGGTTCAATTTCGGTTGGCCCCATGTTGTATGACTAAATATGATAAACTTTTGGCAGGCAATTGCCGGAGTGCGTGAATACTAAATTGGCCTGTAAGCGCCCAAAGTTTTAAATAGGCGAACGTTTAATTTGACAGCGCTTTGAAGGCTTTTGACCAACAAGCATGTTCCCAAGTTTCCAAGTTTTAATATCTTAGGGAGAAAAAATGAAATAAACTTTATCGATTGCTTTGTTTACACTTTCGCGTACCTGCAATTTTATCGTAAGCGACAATGTGCGCAAAGATCTTCATTAACGCAGTTGTAACCAGGGATGGTAATCATTATGAGTAAAATAATATAAATCAGCAATCAATCATTATTTTACGATTTCTATTTTTTTCGCTTAAAAATAATAATTATTATTGAGTTTTATTTTTTCGATAGCAAAAAATCTTTTTTTTTTAATTTGTTTTTTTTTTGCTCAGAAATAATGATTATTTATAACATTTAAAAAGCCATACAGACGCAACCAACTGAAATCTAACTAACCTAAAAATTTTAGGTGTCGATACCTCTGAAAAGGATACGGCAGAAATCATGCTGTTAAAGCTTTTGAGTTTTTTAATGAGCATTATTCTTAAGTGAAAAATAAAAAAATTAAGCAATCATGATTTTCTTTGAGCGAAAAAATAAAACTTAAAAATTAATTATTGGTTTTAATCTTTATAGGTTGAACTCGCACAATTAATATTAATATTTTTTATAAATGTCTAGCTCATTATACATATAACACCGCCCGATATTAAATTTTAAACGCAAATATCAAAATAATAGCAGACCCGGCGAACCTCGTCCCGCCCAAAATTTTTATTTTTTTATTGAAACTCTTTGGTCCAACATTTTCACCAACAATTAACGTTTACGATTATCATTGGCACATTCATCTGCTAAGATTATGGTTTGGGGGTAATTTGCCGCTTTAAATAACCTAAGGAAAGCATTATATGCTTGAAGAAGTTCTTGAAATTCTCCAATTGTGCAGCATTTCATAGCAAGGTTATTCGCAAAATGAAATAAATTTGAAGAATTCTTTCCTCTTCACTCCCTGGCGGCAACAATGACCCGGTTCTATAGTGAATCTGTCCTAGAAGTTTAACAGTATAGTGGGTGGCAATTTCAAAATGGGTGCGAATCATTGTTCTACAGAAATGCAATATACATATACTTATTTCAGAAGAAATACCTTAAAATCTTGAACGCATAATAATATTGGAAAATCACATCCACAGCGCCACTTGGCAGCACGTTTTTGCAATACATATTTAAAATATTAGCCAAATCGGATCATAAATAAGATTTTTAGTAATAACTCAACTACAGCGCCAACTGTCGGATTAAATTGTGAAACTGTAAACCATCCAGAGACCCACTCAAACAAACACAAAAAATTTTGTTATAATCCGTACAACCATTTTGGAGGATTTCACTCACAAACACACCTACAGAAGAATTATAAATACATTCAAAGATAGCTTAAAGTCGGTACGTTTGTAGGCCTCACGCCCTCTTTTCAAATAGCCCCAATTTTCTCCATGAGTATGGGCTTGATTTCATATACATACATACATACATATGTATCTCCACACGCAGTTCCAGTACTGTACCATGAATACTTTCAGAGATGTGCAGTATAAAAATTCGGTTTGTATGGGAGGAGCCACGCCCCCTTTTCCAATAGCTCCCATTTTTCTTCATGAGTATGCGATTGATTTCATATATCTACATGCTAAGTTCTAGAACTCTACCATGAACACTTCCAGAGATACGTAGTATGAAAAATTTGGTTTGTATTGGAGGTGCCACGCCCCCTTTTCCAATAGCTCCAATTTTTCTCCAAGAGTATACGATTGATTTCGTATATCTACCAAGAACACTTCCGGAGATATGGAGTATGAAAAAATTCAGTTTGTATTGGAGGTGCCACGCCCCCTTTACATATAGAATTTTTGTTTAGCCTAAAACCATCCTTGGGACGCCCTTTACCCACGGTAGGGTGGTCTTGAAAATGGGCGAAATCGGACTGAAACCACGCCCACTTCCTATATAACGGTAGTTTTCAGAAATACGAAAACTACGATATTTTAGTAACTACTGAATCTTATTTACTAAAAATTGATATTTACAATAATTTTTATACTTAAAATAAGAATATTGTTAATTTTTGGCCAATGAGCGTGGCAACGCCCATTATGATTACCTTTAAACACGCAAAAGTCTATTAAGTCTAGATTTTTTTTTTGTATCGGTTGGCCAACACGTTGGAGAGACTATGGAGGCTGAGTGAAGATTTAATCGTGCTATAGCCGCAAATAGTTGTCGGCCTTTAGGAGTGACGAGGCGAGATCCCCATTGTGGGTGTTTTGAGTTGTAGTCTCCTCTAGCTAAAAACTTGCTTCCTAGAGTTTTGAAGAATTTAACATAGTCTTCTGACTTGATCGCATGCTTAGGTGGGCTATATACTGCTGAGATTGTTATTTGGCCTTTCAAGTTCTCGACAACTATATTAGTGGCTTGGATAGCGAGCGCACTTGTACACAAGGGTATTATAATTTTGTTCACATAACGGTTGTTTGTAACAGGCAAAACGAATCGAGATAGATATAGACAAATGTGTACATAAATGATCAGAATGAAAAGAGAAGTCGATTAAGCAATGTCTTTCTGTCCGTCCGTCCTTCCGCCCGCCCGCCCGTCCGTCCGTCCGTGTACACGATAACTTGAGCAAAAATTGAGATATCTCAACGAAATTTGGTCTGTAGCTTTCCCTTTACCCAAGGTAGGTTGGTATTGCAAATGGGCGAAATCGGACCGTAATCACGCCCACTTCGTATATAACGGTAGTTTTCAGAAATACGAAAATTGCGATATTTTAATAACTACTGAAGCTTATTCACTAAAAATTCATATTTACAATGATTTTTAGACTTAAGATTAGAATATTATAAATTTTTTGAAAATGGGCGTGGCCA